ATTGACCCCAGCGCTGTGATCCCCCGAGATGGAGCCCCGGGGCTCGGCCAGCCACGCGCCCTCCTGGGTATCGCCAACGCGTCTCAAAAATTGTCACCTCCCTCCCCTAGCACAAAGCCAGAGGCCCGTAAAGACAAGATTGTAGTTGAAGTTAAGTCAGATAAACTTCCCGAAGAGGCGGGGCTCCTGCAGGGCGCCAACGGCGAGAGGAGAGCTGCAGCTGACCAGGTAGGACCGAGCGCGGCGCCGCCCCAGGGCTGCACCAGGTGAAGCTTTGCTGCCGTCCCTGGCACTGCCCACCCTGCACGGGCTCCATCATCCATCAGCAGCACTCGGGGGGGGCATGGGAGGGAGGGGAGGGGACAATTCTGGGCGGTGACAAAGCCGTGCCCTGCTTGGCTCTGCCCCCTCCGTGGAGCAGCAGCCAGGCGGCCCAGGGGAGGAGGAGCTAAAATAGAAAGATGTCCGGCCAAAAGTCAGAGCAGAGGCTGCAGGAGTGATTCCTCTGAGCCAGAGATCTTGGGAGGAGTCTTTTGGGACATGTGTGTGCCCTCACCTGGGATGGAGCAGCTTTTCAGTGTCACTGCTGGGCACCACTGGCCATGCCAGCCACAAGATGCAGCCTCTGAGCCCACTGTGGCTTTATTTGCCTTGGGCCCCTGCCTGGCTCTGCACAGCTCACACTCCCCTCCCCTCAGGGTTGGTGCCACCCCGGGATGCCCCAGCTGTCCCCACCCTCTGTGTGTGTCACTGCCCCCCCTGCAGCACAGGGTTGGCTTTGTGTTCCTCCCTAACTTGGTGTTTTCCCCTTTCCCTTTCTCTTCTGGCGGAATGAAGAGCGAGAAATACATCGATCTGAGAAACTAGAGAGGAAACCTCCCAAGTGCTTTCTTCCTTCAAACCTTTCCTGCTCTTGGATTGCCTTCTCCCACCCCTGCTCCAGCCCCTGGGGAGCACGGCCAGAGAGCAGCCGAGTGTCACCGTGCTGGGGACACCTCCCTGAGCCGCCTGGCCACTACCTCAGCCCTGGGCTCGCAGGTGTTGCCTTAGCAGCAAAGCTGGACTCGCTTTACTACTCCAGAGAAGCCACAGCAATATTAGGAAGAATTCTATCCCATTAACCCCTACTTGGTGGAAGGATTTGAGGCTCTTTCAGGTAATCTGTTCTGTACATGTTGTGGGAAGGTTTTGACACATTCTTTTTTCCCTGAGCTTGCTCAGAGAGGCTGGTGGAATTCAGTTTTTGGGATGTCTGAGGCACCTTGGCTGTAGTGGGTGCAGGTTGGAGGAGAGGGGAGTGGAAGGGGGGAGTGTTAGAGAGGGTTTGAGTGCTTGGCTTTGCCTTTGAACCGTTCCTGGGTCAGTTTATCCCAGCGGTGCTGTGATCCCACAGGAGGAGAGGCCCTGGCAGAGCGAGGAAGGGGTGCCCATCTCCAGGAAGGTTTGGGGGTTCTGTTTGCAGCTGTGCTGACCCCAGGGCAGGGCTCTCTCTCCCCTCTGAATTTGGTTCATTGTAGGAGCCAGAGCTCCCCCAGGTTTCAATTCAATATCGGACAGGGCCAGTCAGTGACGTCTCAGGGTTTTTTGTGCTCAGCCATTGCCAGCCCCAGGTCCAACTCCTCTCTGTGCTTCACTCCCACCTCTGGCTCCACGAGGAGGAGAGAAGGGCAAGAACCTTCCATGAGCTTCTGTGCCACCTCCCCTGCCTCCCCCCAGCGGGCTCAGCCCCTCCTGCCCCTCTGCTGCCCACAAGGCTTCGTCCCCTGCCCCACACAGGGGCCCTGTCCCCGCCTGCTCCACGTGGTGTCCGAGCAAAAGCTTTGGTTTATATATATATTTTTGTTGGATTGTGTGTACATTTCCAGGAGTTTTATTTCTCTTTTTTTTTTTTTTTGGTTGTCCGATACTTGTAAGGGTTTTTTTTTTTTTTTTATATATGTGAAAATAAAGTACGGATTCAAAGCTGAGTGGTGGAGTTTGTTCCCACAGGCACAAGGGTGGGAAGGGCATTCCACAATCCCATGGAGGTTCCAACAGGATCCATTTATGCCCCTCTGGCTGCTAATAATACACTAATTATTATAAATGCTAATAAATCTCTCCATTCTAATAATAAAAAACAATATTTATATTTATAATATAATAAAATAACAATAAAATTAAATATAATAATAAAAATTTAAAAATAATAAAATAATAATAACAATAATAATAAAAATAATATAATAATAAAAATTTTAAAATTACATAATCCTAGTTTTAGGCTGCAATGGGTGATTATACCACTCGATCTTAAAAAATAATATTGTAAAAAAATTTACTGTTAGAATTTATTGACAGTTTAATTAATAGCTGATACCAATACTGTAGATGTTAACGCATACAGGAGATGGTAATAAACACTAATAAACTATCACTGCTAATTAATAAAAAAATATTAATAAAGATAATAACTACCCTGAGGGGACAGAGGGCACATGATGGGTGACACCAAACTGTCCCTTCGCCTTTGAATTAATAAGAATTAATTCCTGTGTCCTCATCTGAGCCCTTGATTAATTAATGGGGACTCAAATGACCTAAAGTAACCCCTATGACCTAAAGTAACCCCAATGAAGACCTCAAATGACCTCAATGACCTCAAGTAACCCCCATGGTTAATGGGGGCCTCAAATGACCTAAAGTAACCCCTGTGACCTCAAATGACCCCTATGACCTAAAGTAACCCCAAATTTGACCTCGATTGACCCCAATGACCAGAAGTAACCCCAAATATAGACTCAAATGACCTCAGGTAACCTCATATCTTCATTTCACCCCAATTGCCTTCATTTCAGCCCTCAGTGGTTTCTGTGAGAGGTTTTTTGTTCCAGGTTTTTCCAGGTCACCCTCCCTGACCCCTCTGAGGGTTCCCCTGTGACCTCAGTGTCCCCCTTTGTCCCCTGCTGTCCCCTGGACCAGCGGGTCCCTGTTTGCTCCATGTCTGGGCCCCTCTGGAATGTTGGAGTGTGGCAGAACCTGGATTTATTATATTAATTTTATATGTAAAATATTCATATATTGATAGATATGAATAGATATCAACGAGTATTCAATTAATGGATTCGAATACAGATAATTATTTTCCTATTTTCATTAATAATACACTCTAATAACTCTATTCTAGGATTGTAATTCATATATATATAATTCTAGAACTGTGTGAGATATCAATTTTTTTATTTCTATAATTTCCATGCAATAACTTGAAAATCTGCAGAATATTCCCTTGGATTCTCTTCCTGGGTGGTAACTTCATGTTCTTCTTCATCCTGATGGTTACAGCCTTTCTTCATTGAATCTCTCAGAATATATTAAATTACCATAATCTTTAAATAAAGCTTTCCTGGCCAGAATATAAATTTGAATTTACCAGATAATTGTGGTGATCATTATAAAATAACTCCAAAGTCAGTCTGCAAAGGATCCAGAAGATTGAAATCCTAAAATTTTCTTTTTCCAGCATTTACAGAAGCACCACAACACACACACACCATCTGCTACAACAAAGGAAATTTTATTTAAAAATAAAACTTTGTTTTGTTTTCTTTCTTACTGACACAGGTGAATGAAATCCCAAACAAAGAAGCTCTTAGTGGGCAGCATACAAGGATGGAAACAATTAATAAATAACATTAGTATAACCTCTAAACATTAACAATGCATCTGCAAACAAAATGAGGACTTTAAACCAAGTGAACCTTAAAGCTCAGCTACTCTCTGTAAGAATATTTACCTTCTGTTTTTCCTTATTCTTTACAGATCTGAAAGGATTAAATACTGCTATTATAATTTTATATTAATGACACTATTATACTTTTTTTTTTTAAAATATCTCGTGAAAATCTCAACATTTTTTAACACTGATATTTTACAAATTGGTATTTGTCATCCATGAGGAAGAACAACAGTAACAGCAGTTCTTCCTCCACTGGGAATTTCAAACAAAAAAGATTTCTAGGAGGAACTTTAAAAATAAAATGTCCTTATTCCCCACTAATCTTTAAAGTGGCACCTCTGAGAAGGTGCCCTGGGAGTTGCATTTTTTCTTGCTCAACTGAAAAAAAAATAAAAATAAAACGAACAAAAACCCCAACAAACCAATCAATCAAACCACATTTACAGCAAGGAGCCTGCCTCAGGATGAGCTCCAGAAATGTCACCAGTCTGGTGCAGGAGCCACATGCTGGGCCCTGGGAGGGCTGGGGGTAAGGACATGCACAAAAAAGGGGAAAATTTGGGATTCCTGATGGGCTCTGGACACAGGAAATCACCTGGGAACTGCTCAGGGGGCACCTCCTGCTTCCCACAGCTGCTGCTGGGAGTGTCCCCACTCTTTATGGGAGTGTTCCCATCCTGTTGGGAGTGTTCTCTGCTCCTTTTGGGAGAGTTCTGCACTCCTTTGAGAGTGTTCCTCACTCTTTTTGAGAGTGTTCCTCACTCCTTTGGGAGAGTTCCCCACTCTTTTGGGAGAGTTCATTCATTTGGGAGTGTTCCCCACTCTTTTGGGAGTGTTTCCCACTCTTTTTGAGAGCGTTTCCCCCTCCTTTTGGGAGTGTTCCCCATTCTTTTTGGGAATGTTCCCCACTCTTTTTGAGAGTGTTTCCCACTCCTTTGGGAGAGATCTCCACTCCTTTGAGAGTGGTACCCAATCCTGTTGGAAGTGTTCCCCACTCCTTTGAGAGTGTTCCCCACTCTTCTGGGAGAGTTCCCCACTCTTTTTGGGAGTGTTCCCCACTCTTGGGAGTGTTCCCCACTCCTTTAAAGGGGAATGTTCCCCACTCCTTTTAGGGACAGCTGCAGGACACCCCCAGCATTTTTTCCCCCACCCCACAATCCTGACCTGGCCCCAAGCTCCAGTCCAGACACGGAAGCTCCACGGCTGAAATGCTACAAAACACAGTGTCAGAGTCCAAGTGAGCATTGCCCATCTCTCCTGCTCCTCTCTGCACCCTTCCCAAAGCAGTTTGGTGCTGCTTGTCCAGCTCTGCTCGTTTCCCCACAGGGGTGGATCCTCAGATCCAGCCTGGCCACGCAGCATCCCCTTAAGAAAGGCACTAGACATTTGGGTTGGTTTTCCTTTTTAAAGTAGCATCAGAAAGGTAATTTTCTTAAGAAAAAAGAATGGGGAGGTGAAAGGAAAGAAGAGCAATCAATCTTGGGCTTAGAAAGAACAAGAGAAATCCACTGGGCAGTGCCTGGATCGAGCTGGCAGAGCACAGCCACAAGACATGGCCAGGACTCTGCTGCCCTCAGTGGAATCAGCAAATTCTTAACGTGTCTAAGGAAGAAAAGGCAAGACTTAAGTTTCTTAAATCAGTTTGAGACATAAACAAGTGCACAGAAAGGACACATGCAGAGAAATCAGCGCTACATGCCACAAAGATTGCTCTCTCTAATCTCTAATACCCAGAACAACACCCACAGGAACATCTCTTGGCACATAGACCCCAAAGACAGGCCTGGATCAGCTCTGCCAAGCAGGATTTCATGGAAATTACAGCCAGCCTGCCCTGAGGGGCATGGAGGGCACAGGGAATCGCTGGTGCCACACACACTGGGCAGGACAGGAGTTAAGGCTTTGGAGCTGGCTGGGTCAGCCTGGCTCAGCCATGGCAGGAGTCACACTGAGCTCACACAGCAGGACAGACACCCAACGGCTCCAAACCCACACAGAGCCCAGTGGGAGTGCGGAAAAGAGAGAAATAAACCCCTCACCAAAGGGTTTGCACCTGGATCTGCAGGACAAGGGACTGTCTGGCTGCTCAGGCTGCCCAGTGTGACACAACAGCCACGGCTGTCCCCTGCTGTCCCCTCTCCTGCCTCAGCAGCACCAGCGCTGGCCTTGCCCCTGCACAGGCTCCCCCATCCCAGGGGGAGCAGGGCTGGCAGCCCTGGCAGCTGCACTGGGGGCACAGCAGCAAGAGCAGCTCTCCCTCCCCTCCTTCCTTTGCCAGGCACTGAGCCCAGGGCTGTGCCATCAGGGCACCCTGCCCATGCCAGACCTGCCCAGTGCCAGCCCTGAGCCCAGACCAGCCAAAGGTGGGGACAGGGAGCATGGAAGGAGATCTCCCCACGCTGTCTGAGTGTGTTCTCCTCTACAGAGAGGAGAGGAGTGAATAGAGACACCTCAGCCTGCCTGGAAGCCCCTGCAGCAATTCAGAAAGCTTTAGGTCTAGAGAGAAACCTCAGCTTGAATCAAAATCCACTTTCTGCTCTGCTAACACCACTCATGAAGGCCTCCCTGCCACTGCAGCCATCTGGCCCAGCCCCTGGATTCCTCAAAAGGCCAGAGTGCACCCCAGTGCCAGAATCACTCCAGCAATATTCCACTGCAGCCCTTAGCCCAGTGACCTCTGCTGACCTCAGGGAGATGCAAATAATGCTGGACATGCTCCAAAGGCCAAGAGCCTCTCAGGCTGACAGGCTGTGATCTGTCCGTGCCTCCTGGATCTAAATCTTCTCCAAAGGAACCATCCACTCCTCTAATAAGAACAGAGTTAAGTAGCTGAGTAGGCAAGTCAGGTTTTTCCAATGCAACAGCTGAGTTCTGACCTTTAAAACCATGTGATCACTTCACAAATACAGAATTTCTTCCCCAGGTCTGCTTTAACACCAGACCTGGCAATACTTTAGAGAAATGGAAATGGAAAGGAGAGCCCCCATGTTGTTTGGACAGCCATGCAGAGAACTGCTGCACTTCTGGGACTGCAAAGCAGGTGAAATTCCAACAAACACATCAGCTGCATCTACCAATTCCACAAAACACCCCGGCACGACGATGGCTCCTGCAAAAGCTCTCTGGAGGAATGTGTGTGAAGGCCACTAGTCTGCAACAGCCACCATGCAATGAAGATAAATAAAACATCCTATTCACCAGGTGCAACATTCCTAGGGAAGAGCAATGGGAGTGTCCAGCGACGGCTGCTCCAGCCCAGCAGGGCCACAAATCAAATTTGAGCACTGAAGCACAAAATGCTCAAGGCTAAGAGAGGAGAAGCAGCAGCCCCAGTTCTTTGCTCTTGCTCAAATTCTTTCTCCCTTCTCCCATCCCTCAAAACCACACCAAGCTCCTCCAGCTGCTGGAATCTGGTGCTGCCAGTGCAAGAGCACACACACAAGAGAGAAATCAACTGGATCAAAATCCCTGACAGAAATTCATCCTGCTATCTCCAGGCAGCAAGGGAGGACTGGAGTCAGAAGCAATAACTGCTATTGTTACAGGCAAGAGGGACACACCACGGCCAACAGGAAGCAATCAAAGGATCCTTCCAAGGTCTCCTATAAATTCCCAGCAGAAAGTGACCTCCCAGCTTCTCTAAAAAGCCTGAGGCAGACACACAGCAGCGAACAGATCCAAACCTAGTACCATGAACCACAGGACACACCACACCGACCTCAAGACTTTGTTTCTCTGAGCATCCACTTAAAATTCACAGCACAAAACAACTCCCCCAGCCTCCAGGGCATGGCCTCGGGGATCCCTTGTCACAATACCTTTCTCTAGCAACACCCTGGAAATAAATCTGTTCTCTCAGACAAGAGGTAGGGGTAAAGGACTCCAAGACATACACTGTATAAAACACCGCTCCGCTCCATCGCACCGCTTTGAAATCTGGAACCACGAAAACCTGATAACTGATTCTCTTCGAGAGGCAGGACTGACCTCAGCACGAAGTCTCTAAAGGAACCCCCTTCCCCTTTGGTGCACAGCTGGGCAGCAGCTGCCCAGGCAGTTGGTCCACAGCAGCTCAGGTGTGGAGGTGCCCGTGTGCTATGTGGCCACGTGCGCCGGGGAGGAGATGGACACGAACTCCCGCAGAATATTCTTGGCCATCTCAATATTGTTATGTGCAATGACCAGAGCTTTCTGAATGTCCTGATATGAGTAGCCTTGGCTCATGAGGTTCTCGATCTCGCTGGAGAGGTGCAGGGAGGAGCTGGCCCCGCTGCTGGCTGCTCCTGCCTGGCAGCTGCCGGCTTTGCGCTCCGAGTTTATCCGCCGGGGCAGCGGCTTGGGCGGCCGCTCGGGGACCTGGGAGCCGTCGGAAAAACCTGCCGGGAGAAACGAGTGCATCACTTCAACGGAGACATGTGGAAAGTTTGCTTGGAACGAAGCGGAGATGACAGCAGGGAGATAAATGGCACTTCAAAAAGCTGTGACTGAGCTCTGCTGCTTTCTCCAGCCCTTTTATCTCCTTCCCAAGCTGCTCAGCTTCCCCAGCTGGGTGCAAAAACAGCTGGGGAGGTTTTGCTTAATTAGCAAGGCTCATCAGCCTCATTTAGTAAGATAAAACCACATAAAAAATGGCATAGCATCTATGTGTGTTAGCAGAGCTCAGATATCAGCCTTGGAATCAGAAAAAATGACACAGTGAATATCCAATGCACCAGACATCCCATTTCCTTCCAGAATCAGACAGAACTCCCGGTTTAACTGTCCAGAGGCTGCTCCCTCATCTCTGTGTGCACAAACTCAGCCCCAACTCAGCCACCACAATTGCTTCAGCAACTGAATTATGCTCTCTGAAGGGTCAGCAACTGAATTATGTTCTCCTCTTCCTCTGCTGAAGCTCTGCCTGCCTAATGGCAGATCAATAAAGCTCAGCCCGTTGTGCTTTTCCCTGAGTCACTCTGATGTGCCACTGCCCTGCAGCCACATCATGCACTGCTGGGAAGAGGAAACAACAGCCAATAAACCACACAAGTCACCAGACTCTCCAAGGAAAAAACACATTGTTTAATGTGCTTACCCAGCATCTGACTGTTTCTGAGTTTTAACCTCCTGTATCATTGCAGAAAGCATTTTCTGCCAATCACAGGAAACTTCTCTACATGGATGTTTGACATCACCTTAAAGAAAGATTTATTTGTCTCCTGGAAAATGTCCTCAGGGCACTGCACAGAGTTTTCTGGCAGAGATCTGGAGTACAACAGACAAATCACGTCCACACAATTCCTTTCTAAGCGTGAGCACTGCAGCTTGCTCAGAGCAGCAGCATTGTGGGGTCTTTCTGAAAAACTTGCACCAAAAGCCCTGAGACAGAGAAGGCTCTTTGGGAACCAGATTCCCTGAAGCTTCCTCACCAACCACAGCTCCCTCATCGTCAGAACTGAAGTTTCTCACACATAAAAAGCTTTTTGTACATGTGAGAAGAAGGTCTGCCCCCTCCCCTGCCCCAGACTGCCTTCTGGAATTGCTGTTTCAGCTTGAGCTGGATCAAGTTTCAGAGACCATGGGTCAGTCTGAAAGGACAACTGCTAAGACAGTTATTTTGGTAAATCATTAATTAAAACTGCAGGGTCCAGCTCCTGAGAGCATAAAGCTGCCAAGATGAATCCCACAGCAGTCAGGCTTGCCTGCACCACTGCCTTGCTTCCCACAGCAGTAACAATCAGCATTTTCCACATTTTCCATTTTCCTAGCCCCAAAGCAGGACAACAGCAGTGTTATTTCAGGGCTGTAGAAACAGAGTGTCAATGATTAAACTCAGTACTTCATCTGGGAGGGGGGTGGGACTTGCTCTGTTTCTTTTTTATCCCTTTCAGCCAAATTCTACAGACACAGAGACATTTACAAAGTGAAAAATGGAGGTGGGGCAAAACTAATGAACTTTTCTGCACTAGGAAACTCTTCTCTGTGCTAAAGAAGGTCAGGGAAGTGGAATGGGGAAGAGGAAAAGAGAAGACTCACTGGGGGGGGCTCTGGGTACAGGAGGTTCTGCTTGCAGAAGGAACAAGAAACTCATTCCTCCTCCTTGGCAAATCACCAGCACATTCAGACTGAAAACCCCCAACAAAAAGAGTTTCAGAGCTTCCTTAAGAGCTGCTGAGCAGGGAATAAGTCAATCATTATTCAGAAAGGCTCTTGGAGACACGAGGCTTTCGTTTTTCCCTCAGAGAATGTGCCTTGCAGCCAGAAGGACACCATGTCCTCCATTCCCCAGGGACAAAAAGCTGACCTTGCTGAGCCACTGGTCCCTGCTCAGAGGAGCTGAGAGCATCAGGAGCTGTGTGCAGAACTCTTGTGCCATCTGCAGGCACTGGCAGTGCCACAAACCCTGGCAGTGCCAGGGCAGCCCTGCATCTCCACTTGGCACAGGGACACAATCCCTGAATGCTCTGGGTTGGAAGGGCCCTCAAAGCTCCTTCCACCCCCTGCCATGGGCAGGGACACCTTCCACTACCTCAGGGACACCTTCCACTACCTCAGGGACACCTTCCACTACCTCACCTTCCAACCCCAAATCCAACCTGGCCTTGGGCACTTGCAGAGATGGGAAATCCTGTCTCACACCCTGGTACACCATGGTACAAAACCAGTCCATGCTCTGCAGGAAGCAGTGGTTTAAGGAATATGCTTGAAGCTGAAAAAACCTTTTCCTAACTGAGATTTCGGTGTGATTTGCAAGCTTGGGGATTAAATGACCAAGGCAGCACATTCCAAGCTATAAATTGAACAAAAGCTAAAATAAATCAAACAAAACACCTAAGAACCAATTCTGCCTCACAAACCTGATTTTACACCTTCCATCCAAAACCTTCAGTGAATAACACAAGTTTCAAAGATGCAGAGGCAGGCAGCAGCAGCAGGAAGAGGGAGGAGAGCTCTCTGACCTGTGACAGGGTCGCTTTCCAGGGACATTCGGCTGAAGGCAGGAGTGGCATTGGAGATATCAGACAGCGTGCGGCGAGCGACGGCCACGGGCAGCGGCGCCTTGGGGACATCGTAGCCATCCTCCTCATTCTCTGACTCCTCAGGGCCATTGCTGGCAGTGGCTGCTGCCACGTTCCCTTCATCTGCAGGAGGAGGCACCTTCTGAGCCCTGGGGCTGAGCTGTCTCTCAAGGCAGACTCCACTCCCCCATTTTCCACACACTGACAGGACACCGAACTAAAGTTTTGCTGTTAAAACCTCACAATTAATGGCAGCTCTTTCCAGAAGGGCAAATTAAAGCACTGGAATGCTCTTCCCAGGGAGGTGGTGGAATCACCATCTCTGGATGTGTTTAAAAACAGACTGGACATGGCACTGGGTGCT